GCCGGTGTCGAACATCGCCGTGGCATGGACCAGACGCGCCCGCGCGGGGCGCCCGGCGACCCCGGCCACCACCTCCCACCGCGCGAGCTCGACGATCTTTCGATTCACCCACCGCCGCGCGTGGACGGAGTCGAGGCAGAGGAGAATGGCATCGAATCGACGGTAAAACGCATCGGGTTGATCCTCGACGCGACCGACGACGGCCTCGACGTGCAGGCCACGGCAACGCGCGTTGACAGACGCCGCCGCGACGACGCTCTTTGGCTGCCCAATGTCTTTTTCCTTGAAAAGAAATTGCCGATTGAGGTTGGAGAGGGCGATGGTGTCCATGTCGATCACGGTAATTCGCCGGAAGCCGCTCAGGGCTAAAAGGTGCAGCACCTCACACCCAATCCCTCCCGCCCCGGCGACGAGGAGCTCCACAAAATCCCACTTCGTCAGCGTTGCATCGTAGCCATCCACGCAGAACTGGGGTCCACCCCCAATCAGGCGCTGCATCGCCTGACTATTTTGAACGTACGCGATTCGATCCATGAAACTCGCCACATACCTCTCTTTTTCTATCAAAAGCGCACCCGGAACACGCCTCTGGAAAAAAAAAAGGCGTTGGGGTGGGAAATGGGTTCACTATGTAGCTAATAAACCTTGATAAAGGCAGCTCAAATCATGGAAAGCGGTAAACTAAATACGGGGAAGAAAGTCGCATGGATTGGTATGCAACCTAGGCTATTTTTCACAGCCATACTCGCAGCACTTGTATCTGAAAGGTTAAATAATTTGATTAATGAAAGTACAAATATACTATACAAACAATGTAGGTACGAACAATGACGAATTTGATTTTTGATATTGACGAGACCAATTAACACCCCTATCACTATGCGAATTAGACATAAGAACAGCAAAAAAAAATTTATTGCGCCTAACTTATCCACGCAATTTCCTGACTTTTTCCAACAACACTTAATAAGTCAACATCCGCATGTACGTTAGCCTTTTCCTTTACACATGGCGTGTACAGGTGAAATCCATCTGAAATTTATGAGAACGTTTCATTACGATTCGTTAGTGGTAAATACACACTGGTAATGGTGTCAAACGAACAAAAGGATTTGCTCTGAAAAAAAAAGAGAGATCACTAACCTCAATCAATGCGGAAGCTCATGGAGTGATAAGTTTGCCTTTTGCTTACTTACATCAGCTTTAGTATCGTGAATACACATGCCCGAATAAATATACTAGTTTATATATTTATTCATTCTATCACGTGTCTACGGATAGCTTTATAGATGATCCGACAAAAAAGCAGCGAAAAATTGAACTCATTGTAAGTAGGAATTTTTTTTATTATACGCAACAATGCCCATTAGACACTCTCCTGCTAATTTACGTTAGACACGCCTTGTCTACTTCACAGAGTGTTTGCTTTCCTTGCCAAGACATGATACAGAGTGTTTGATTGCATCATTAGTGCCGCGATGCGACCCATCCCCACCGTTGCCATGCCTCCATCAGTTGCGTTTGCCCCTGCCCTTGCTGACCCTTCAAAACGTACGTAGTGCTGCTGCTCTGGGGCATATGCTCCCTCCTCCGGCTTCGTTTCACTTGCTTCACCCCTTCGACTACCCAACAGATGATCTATCCAGCATTGTGGTTGTGTGTGATCTAGCGAGTCCTGATGGGATTGTGTATATGGGTTAGGCAGATGATTTCTCTTGATCCACACTTTCGGTTGTCGAACTTCGTCGGCCTGCTCGATAGATTGTGCGCATCTCCCCGACGACGGGGGGGGTGCCGCCGTCGGCTCCCAAATCTGCGGCGTGGTGGCATCTGGGGAGGACGTCTCCCTACAGGATGAATTGGTGATGTCATCGTGGGCCCCCGCCCCAACCTTCCCGGCGTGCGCCCGTGGGTGAGAGCGAGGTTTTTTCGTCGCCCGCCGTCCCCCACCCGCCTCGGCGACGAGGAAGTACTGATACAGCTGCTCCGCCATCACCCTGGACTCGTAGTTCACGTAGAACGCATTGGTGAGCCGCTTGGGTGGGAGGATCAGGGTGGGCTGGCCGTCCCCTGGGAGACCCCGCCGCGTGTCCGGTCGCGTTGTGACACGAACGTGGGGAGCCGAATCGGCTAAGGGGAGGGCCCGGCCCGTCTTGCCTGAGCGTGCGGTCGGTGTCACAGCAGGGCTCAGGCCCTGCGTCGGGCCCTCCCCGTTCTCATCTATGAGGGTCCCCCTCTCTCTCGTTGGGCGTCGGCTTGGGACATCTCGCGGAGTGGTGTCTGAGGGGCCGCCGGAGCCCGCCCTCCTCCCCGCTGAAGGGGTCAGACGGCCGGCGGTCTCAATCATGGACTCCACTAACGTGGGTTTGAATGGGCCCCCACCTCTCCCTGTGATGGAACGCGAGGCAGGGCCCGGCCGTCGGCACCCCCGCTGCGCACAGCACGAGGAGGCACCGCTTTTCACCGGTCCGTTAAGAGCTGTGGGGGTCAACATGGAGCTCAGCCTTCGCCCCGCCCAGGAGCTTGGGCGGGCGTGTCGAGTGGGCGTTGGGCAGGCATTCGGGATGGGCTGTCGTAGGGACTTCAAGTCTAGCGGCGTTGGTATGGACGTGTCCTGTGCCATGTCTCTATCTTTCCGATTCCTGCCCCTCATCAACCCCGGAAGGGATCCATCCCCCCCACGTGCATCGGGCAGCTTGACATTGTTCCGATGGGTGCTATTCATATAGCGCACCACCTCCACATAGCCTAATGAGTCGCGTAGATATCCTAAACAAAATGTATGACCAAATTAAGTTCCTTACAAAAGCCAATATTAATATTCTTGTCTGTGTCAACGGAGAATTTCCTATACTCAAAATATCAGAGCAAACGGAATTACTAGAAAAAAATAGTAGCCTCAATTAGAAAAGATCAAAATGCTGCATGCGCATCGATCCGAGTCACATGCGTCATTCACCCCCCTTTATTCTGTCCACCAGAAACTTTTTGTCAATAAAACCAGGCACTGAGTTATGCTTCCTTGAATGTAACTTCAGAAAGATTATATATATATATATATGTATGTATATGCCGGCATTGGTGCTCTGATATTTAGGAATCAACGGTTTATTTTTCCACATTTCACCCTATATAAAAATAATTGTAAAACCAATAGCAAATATATTCATGATTATTTATACATAAACAAGCAAAAGTAAAGGAGTTTTCTCCCATTAGTACTTGTAAGAAACACATTTGAAATGCCAGTTATTTGAGTAAAAACTAAATTGATGAGTACAGTTGCGCGCTAAATACGTGTGCTTATTGATCGGCATCGAAATAATAATAGTAACAATACTAAGGCAACTTGAGCTTCAGATTGTTAAAATTGCCTTGATCATTTTTCAGCATTGTATGATGCTTGCGCATCTTCCTACTCATTTATCCACATCCATCTCTATCTCTTTGCACGAGTACACGTGATAAGGGGAATGCACACATTTTGTATTCCATTCCACAGAATTCATGATAATGATGAATCCATTCTTTAAGAGAAAGACATAATAAGTTAAATGAATAAAGGAAAAAGGATATAATAGTGAGAGACACAGTGTCCATGTTAAAAGAAAAGAAAAGAAAAGAAAGAAACGTGTTGAGAAACTAATTTACATATCTCTGGATTGTTCAATTCAGCCGTTCATATGATTTGAACTTCATTTTAAATACTGGCTCGTTACAAGTTGATGTCTATAAGTGAATTAGAAAGTAATGATTATGAGAGAATCATTTCTTGTAGAAGAAATGATGGGTATTAAAAAGTACGGAACAAAATATCATCGTAACGTAGGCCATTTTAGGTTCTGAAAAAGCGGAAAGAATCTGAAAAAGTGAGAGGGGTGAAGTAAGTAAAGGAGGACAACTCAAAACCATTGTTTGCAAAAATCCCAATGAGATTTCTATCCAAAACCTGGTAAAGAGGAAAACAGAAAACTAATACGTTTTTCACGTAAATTTATCCAGAAAGAAATATCTACTACATGTGTACCAATGGTGAGAATCGGCTCTTTAAGCGCGTCTGCGATAAAAAACCCATATGACACCACTGATTCATGTTGCACAGGTGAGACGCGCCAGCACCATCTTTTTTTTTTTACATAAGCAAACAGCGTTAGAATAATTAGAACACAGAATTATTTTTTTGTGTGCGCGCGTATGAAGAGGTAAAAGGAATAGGGGATCGAAAAAGGAAAAACTCCAGTCCATGGACTATTTCTTCCTACTTGATACTTTACTTTTTATCTTTGAATTAATTCAAAAAATAAAACAACCAATCCTATTCGACAACACCTCTACGGGATACCTCGAGACGCCAGGAAGCAGGCGGTTCAGCAGCTTAGCCTTCCCGCGATTTTGCATGAGCACGGAGCAGCGCGGGACTCTTTCCAGCATGAGCGTATCCAAAAATTTTATGAACATAGCCTCACCCGGGCCTCCTGAACAGTCATCAATCAACGAGCCCAGGATGGATGACGCACTCACCGAGGGCTCTTGCTTCGGGAGTCCTGGGGAATCGCATGCGGGGTTGCCATCACCTGTCGGGAGTGCGGATTCACTGACTACAAGGGTGCCTTTTTTGTTGTAGAAATCTTTAAACTGCTGATAAAGTGCTTGCGCAACGTCTATGAGCAACATCTGGATGCGGTGAATGTACTCAATATCGCTGTATTCGAGCCCATCCAACGACAGGCTGGGGTCGCCGAGATTATTGTCTACTTCGATTCCCGCGAGCATGTTGTTTAAGTGATGAATTTTGAGTCGAACCGCACCCGAATCGGAGCTCAGATAGCTATCTAACAGAAGAGCGTGCTGCAAAAGTCGATGCAGGAAGCAATAGGCTACCTCTATGCGAGGGAAAAACCCATTGAAGGGGGTCTTATCGGAGGCGTTAGCCGCCATCGTGGGAATGTCGACGCACTCGGATGGATCATTGTTTATTACCACCGAGTTCACCATCGCCGCGTGAATCCTGTGAGGACTGTATTGAGCGAACGAGGTCGACGTAGTAAAGAGTTCTCGCCAACAGTTCTCGATTTGGACGCCTGGAACGGGCTCATGACTCAGCATTTGGACATACCTGCATGCCAGCTCCGACACCTGCTGCGAGCTCTGCGCTGCGCGCTTGCCATCCTTGTATTGGTCGTGGTGAATGTACAGCGCAACCTCGTATGTCAGCATCTCTAGACGAAGCAGTATCGGATTCGGGAGCGGTCCGTCAATGGGTAGGGTGGGGTTAACGCCACAGGTGTCAATGGGTACCAGATCCTCCTCGTTGGAGGATTCTGGGGGGAAGTAGAGCGCCAAATAGAGATGATGGAGCGCAGAGGCGTAGATAGGCTCCAGCTTCCTCATGGCGTACTGCGCGGCAAACTCTCGGACGTTCTCGCAAACCCGCTGTGCCCGCAAGAAGTGTATGCGGGATCTCCAGCACTCATCCACTAGCAGACCACGGTTTCGCTCCGGCAGTCTAGGCATGCGATCCCGCCGTGCCGGCCCCATGGTGGGCGGTGCACCGCCCTCTTTCTTTTTTTCCACCGCCGCGTTGCCCCCTTTTTCCTCAACACTGCGCGTGGAAGGAGGGGCAGAGCAGTCCACGGGCTCGCGGTTCGTCTCGACGGCGTTGCCCACGAGGGAGGGGTGGATCGGCGGCTCGCAGCCCGCCTCCGGTTTGTCGTCGACTGACGCCGCGAGGGTGGGCGCAGGGCTCTCGAGCGGACTTCCTCGCAAGCCGAGGCTCAACTCCACCGCCTCCACCACGTTGGACGGCAGACCAAAGGTGCACGGCTTGGGTACCCTCACATCATAATCGCTCGAATGCGAGCCCGTAATGGCATGTTTCGGCTTAGCGACAACGAGGCGGAACTGATCGCAAAGGCATCGGCCCTGCAGCCCTGCCAAGGCCGCGTCCGCCTCCTCAGGCGAGGCGTACTCGATAAACCCGACCAAAAACGGCCGCTCCGTTTCGTCGGCTAAAGAGTTTTGGGACGACGCGCTAGGCCAGACGAGGCGCACTTTACGCACTTCTCCATACTCGTCGAAGAGTTGGCGCAGCTTGAAGGAGTCCACCTCTTGAGGGAGAAACTTCACGTAAATGGTCCGCTCGAGGCGCTGAGCATCGTCGTCGTCGCATACACCGTCAGACACCGCCGCGAGACTCCCAGTCGACGCGGGCTTAGCCGCTTTCGGGGGCATCCTCCTCTTATTTGCTTTCCTGCGATGAGCCCGCGCATGATTTTGTTGCTGCCGCTCATGAATCCTCATTGCCAAGGGTAAAAAGGGGTTGACAAAAGACTGTGGTACGCCGCGCCTAATATTCATCCACTGCTTGCCTGCAGCCGCAACGGCAGAAGTCAGAAGGTGTGCCTTTGCGCTCACTTGAGATAGCAAGGGCCCTGAATGGGTAGAGGAATTTGACGCCGACAGAAAAGGTACTATTTCTCCAGAGTTGTTGCAGACGGTGGCGCTTTCCTCTTCTTCTGCCACTTTACCCTGATCACCACAGTCGGGTTCATACGTCTGCCAGGCCTCGTTTGGGGGACACACGTGAGCATCAGATTCCAGGGTATCGCTGGGGTCCACCGTTGCGGATGATGGGGGTGGGGCGCTGGTCATCGCGGAGATGTTCTCATCACCTCCCTCGGCACTCTGCGCCGTGTTGTACGGATGAGAGTAGGGGTCGACGTAGCACTCCCCTTGAGATGCCCACGTCGCGGGCTGCGTCGAATCCGCCGGTATCCCGAGCGGCTCCGTGGCAGGAATCCCCCTTGGGGGCTCTGCGGCGGCAGGGTAAGGGTTGTAGTCGCGTTGCCGCTGCCGGAGGAACACCCCTCCTTGACGGGGCTCCCAAATCCCGCACCCCGACACGTAAACCGCGGCCCCTGGCACGAGCCGGAGCTCACAGCACCGCATGTTCATCTCCTTAGGGCTCAGCATCATGTTCCGAGAGTTCGCCGCCGTGCCAGACTGGTGTCCCAGCGACCGGCCGTCCAGCCAGATCTCGCACAGGGAGCGCGGGATGTGGAGGGTGCGCTCGACAAACTCCACGACGTCACTGAGACGGGCCTTGGTCAGCCACTCGTTGTGGGTCATGATGTAGACCCCGCTGTCGTGCTCGTTAAAGAAGCAGACGAACTTGTCATTGAAGAGCCGGCACGAGGCGTAGGGGTGGCCTTCCTCCCCGCAAAGCAGGCAGTACATCTCGGCGTAGGCGTTGAGGCTGAACGGGGTCAGCCGTGAGTCTTTCCCTGGGGGAGAGCTCACGGCGCCCGCCCTTCCCCAGCCGGATGAGGACGTCGGGCAGGGGACGGTGGATGGCGGCGGTTGCCCCCAATTCCAGTCTTGGGGGTTGTACGGCATCGCTATGGCTGCGGAGTAGGGGTAGTTGAGCGGCTGACACTGCGGGGCCTGCCACTCGCCCGCGTACGGCGGCATCGCGGCGAACCCCGGAGGGGAGTAGGGCGCGGCACTTAGCGCATAGGGCGCAACGTAGCTCGCGGACACATAGATGTTGTCAAATCCGCCCTCCACTTTTCCTTTCTCCATGGACTGGGCTAGTGGTTGGAATGAATTTGGAGGGCACGGCGCGGCGATATTTCCTTCCGCGTTGTGCACGTCAGCATGAGTCGCGGTGGGTTGACAGAGAGGCTGCGCGGCATCAGCCGCGTACGAGTTTTCGTTCATCATGTATCCTCTGCAAAAGTAGCAAGTTTAAATCGTTTGCAGTGCAGTATAGAAGATGCTTTTCCTACCGATTTTTTTCGCCTTTGGATAGGATTTGAGCTGTTCAAAACAGCAAATAAATCCCAACCCGACAAAGCTTTATTCTATGATGTGCGTTTCGATGCTTGTCCAGCTTTGAGTTGGGAAATCTGTGTGCAATTATTAAAGGCAGTGCAATGTTACTAGGTAAACACAATTCGACGTTGATAGGAAAGGTCGAAGAAAGGCAGAAACGAGAAACACGATTTTTGTCTGAGAAAGGGGGAGATGAAAGGCACTAAAAAGATACACTGGCCAAGAACCTAGTTTTGAATAAATCTGAAGGAATGAATGTATATATATATATATATATATATATATATATATATATATATTATGTATTTGGATAAGATATATGCGTTTGCGGCAATATGCTCCAAATAAATAATAGTTTGCCTTCAAAACCATCAGGGAAAAAGTACAGAGATAAAGTGAGATGGAGTTAATCAGCTTTGCTCAGCAACTAGAATACAGAAGATGGAATAAGAATGAATAAACACGCACAAATGTCTATAAACATTTAGTTAGTATGGTATATGAATTTATACGGATCAATAAAATTTTTACAAAATGGCGCCGAACCTATCTCGCACCCTGTATGCAGATATATTCATACAATAAGTATATCCGTACACCTTTTCTGAGATGATACTGTTCGATGCATGTTGCAAGAAAATGCATCAAGTCAATTATATTCTTCATAAAAAAAAAAGCTTGCGTTAAAACTTACGCAAGATTATGCTCCACAAACGCAAAGCTTCGTACAGGGTCAGACCTATCACCTTTTTCCTTTGGAAAGATCTGTGGAATAGTTGCCTGCAAAAATATCGTCGATGAAAGAGAAAAAAATTAAGGTTTATAATTTAAACGGATAAAAATAGTAAGTAATAAAATTTTGGAAAAACAAATGTGATGACTGCCACTAACCCTATCAGAGCTGACGGCACTGCAATCGTCGCATTTAAAGTATTCCACGTTCTTTCCCCCTCAGCATCTCCCAAGTTTCCTTCGGACAGCATCACCACGCGACACTTCTTTGCAATGCTACGAAAGTCATGGGGACGATAACGTGCAGGGAATAGCCCTAGCTATCAGCTAACTAATATACTTTAGCTGCTGGCTGCAGAGCTCATAAGGAAAAAGCTTTTTCGGAGGTGGTAAATCCTGGAGTCCGATTGGAACCTGGAGCGGTCATTTTGATCGCAACAGTTCTCACTCAGTGTTCTTGTTCTTTTTTCCATAGTGTGTACTTTTTCTTCAAACTGTGCGCCTTCGATTACACCAATTCACACATATCCATAAAGTTAGCCCAGATGGCGAACCAATAATGAAGCAGATATAAATTTTATTGCATGAATACTTTTTACCCTCTCATATGTTTGTATAGAATGTTTATACATGATGCAACGTTGATATAGGGGTAAATTTGTAAGTTCGTAACGGTTATTCGTGGTTTAAAATCACATTGATAGCAGTGCTATCAAAGTGGCCCAACTCCGAAGTAAGCAAAATAACCTTTCTTTGGAAGTTTTATTGAAAGAAAATTATGAAATATGAACGCATAATGCAATGTACCCAGAAAACAAGAACATTTTACACATTCAGGCGTGACAGGGAGGTAGAGGGGGAGGTAGAAAAAACATATCGACCAATAATTATAAATAGATCTTTTCAATTTCTACTAATATTGTAACAACAAAAAAATCGTAATAAGTATATCACTTTAAATCTATGATCTTCTCTCATTGTGCATCATTTGTCTTGTCTTTCGGTCTGGGGAAAAGTATTTCGCATATATTTACCCATTGTTATTCAGTCTAAAGCAGTCATCACAACATTTTTAAGACCACTGAAAAATGAAACACATTAACGAACTATGCATTAAGAACAAGTATAATAAAATAAAGAATCGTGTATGCACATGAGCAAATTCATTCTGGTTAAAAAAATTCACTGCAAGCGCAAGAGATGATGGGAATCAGAAAATGTGTATATTTACACAAAGGAACAATGCGATTATGAAATCAATAGTTATGACATTTTTCTCTATAAAAGTCAGCATCTATACAATCCACGTGAAAAGCTCTTCTCTTCTGTTTTAAAGAAAAAAACACCGGCTTTCTAGTGATAATTGTCAAGGAAACGCATATATATATATATATATTACCCATGCCTAGTAATTAAGCATACAATAACCATAGTAAGCTCCTCAGGCAAATTAATTCCCCATCCACACCCATTGTCAAGTTTACCCATTTTTGTCTGTTTTCTTGCCTTTCCCTCAGAAAAGTGGGGGTCCGCAATGGGGTGTGAATTCCCTTTTTCGCCCTTCTTGCATTGTGATCACTCGTCGAAGCTTAGCGTGGAGTTTACCTCCCTCCGTATGTTAAAAAGCGATACGAACTCGCTCGAAGAGCCCCCCTGAGAGGGCGTGAGGGACGGCTTCCGCGCAAGCTGGGGCCACCCCCCCCCTCCCCCGCCACATGATAGCACCGCCTCGCTGCCATGGCTCATTTCCCACGCATCCCACCCCCCGTCGCCGTCACCCCCGCCCCTCACCACGAAGGGCGAGAAGCTGCCCTGGTTGAAGGCCCCTTGGAGGTGGGTTGAGTCACCTGCAGCGGGCTCCACATCCACAGTAGGGGGGGAGGCACCGCTTGGAGGGCCCCATAACCCCTCCGAACCTGCAAAAGAGGGCCACACGAGGGACGGCATCCTGTGACTACCAAGGGGGCCGGGCTGCGGGCTGGAGGAGGACCCCACGCTACTTGTCCGTGAGGGATCCCGTGGAGAGGAGGCCAAGAGACGAGGTTGGCTCCAGAGCCCCGCCGTCTTCGAGGTGGCGGACGGCGTGTCAAGTGTGCCGGCGGAGCTGCTCGTGTGGCAGTAACGTCGCAGGGAGCCCCAGGGTTGGGGCGGGACCGCGTCAAAGGGATTCTCCCCGGTGTATCCATTGGAGTCCTTAGAGGAGAGCCCAACGGCGTCGTCGTCGTCACTCGTGGGGATATCGCCTGCGCCCCAAGCACTGGTACTACTAGAGGGATTGCTGGCGTCGTGGTTTAGGACGGGCGACGAGCTTGATGGGATCATCATCATCATGCACACAATGACTTCCGCGAGTATATCTAGAATGTCAATTTTAAGCATCGCTGTCAATTGCTTCTCGTTACCGTGAGGGCTTGGCAGCACTGTTCGTTGATGGTGTTTGTTAACGCTTTTCCCTTCCTTCAAAAAATATAGCTTTGGCTTTTGTCGTATGGTATGTACCATTTGCATACCGAAACGCAGGGATAGTGGATACAAAGTCAGAAAGAGTATACATTAAAAAAATGCAACGAAGTAGGTAGGATAAGTTCCTAGCGGAAACATTAATGATAATAATAAGGGTGGTCAGCCATTAAGGGTATCCAACGTTCTATTTCTCGTTCAGATCACGCGCCTTTTTCAGAGACACACATGCGAGAGAGAGAAAGATCACTGCAGTACGCGCTTACACAGTTTCCGCAAATCCTCGCTGCTCGACCCCCCCACTCCGCATTGCGTTGACCTCCTCCAACACCTCCTGTAGTCTGCGATACTGGGGAATGTGGAGTGCGTGCTCTGCGGGGTTATACACTGCTAGGCGATTCGACGTCAACTCACGCTGCACTGCCTTCATTCGCCCGTGGGAGACCATAATGCCGTGCGCCTCAAATTCCTGCTCGATCGTGAAGATCGGAATCGACGCCGCTTCGCCGTGCTTTGCCTGGGTTGCGATCAGCACGCGGAGGAGCTCCGCGAAGCCCGCAGGGAGACTGAGGAGAATACGGCGGATGGTGTCGCGCAGCGGTGCCCGATTTCGTCCCTTCGCGAACCCAGCCGTGGCCCCACCTCTTCCCGCGGTGGATGCCTCCAGCTGGGTGAGGACGCCGAGGCTGTTTAAGGACCGCATCTCATGAACCCGCGGCAGAAGGGGGTTGCAGAGGTGCACGAGCACCAGCTGAAACTGCCCGAATGCGGCTGCCCGCGCGGTAAGCGGCCACTGCGGATTATCAAAGGAGAGCAAAAGCACCAGGCGCATACGAGGATACGCAAACTCCCGACAGAGCTCCAGCAGCGCGGCTTCACTGGCCGGACCGAGAAGATCCACATTGTGTAGAGCGAGGAGCACGCGGCGTGGGGTTCTCTCGGCGAGCGCGCGAACCCACCCCCCCACTTCTCTATTTCCCGATGCCGTAGGAACCACGCCAAAGGGGGCGCGAGCCGACGGCGGGCACGGCATCGATCGCCAAGCCATGATCGAAGGTAACACATTCCACCGAACGCAACGGTTGACGTGCCCACGACAACGCTTAAACCACGTCTGCCGCGCTGCATCGCTGACAAAGCGGATGGGCGGGACCCACAGCTCGTAGGGGAATCCCCCCCTTTGCCAAGACGCGCCCATTTCCCCTTCTTGCGGCTCTACCGGATGGCCACTGTGGCCATACCCAATCCTATCGCTGCCACTCTTCGGGCGATATGGCGGCGGTAAGCGCTGCGTTATGGTCTCTTCCTGCGGGATTTCAACCAGATCTTCCGCTAGCGACGTGTGCACGGGTCGATTTCGGCAAGAAAACAACTGTGGATACGCATCACTGCCTTCCACGCCGTTCGAATCGCCGCTGTTGCCGTCAGCCCCACCCTCGCCACCGGGATGGAGTAGGTCGAAGAAGGGCACCGCGGTGCCACCACCGGCGCTCAGGCCCTCCGCCTCCGTTTCCCACCACGTGGGAGGATCTCTTCCGGAGCATTTGACGCCCGAAAAGGAATTCGTTTCGTCATCAACGTTGATCGCGTGCGAGCGATCCGCGCCGGGGTTCCAACCACCGCTTGTCGGTGGAGAAGAGCGCTTGGCCGGCGCCTGGGGGGCGGTGTCGAGCAAGAGGTCGCGTACCTCGCGAAGCTGATGCACGACAGCCGCAGTGCCGTAATGTGTCTGGAAAGACGGGCTCCCGCGACTCGCGTCAATTCGTTTGATTACGAACCCAGAGAGCAGCTCCGCGCTTTGGGTGACGTGCTGAAGGAAAGGGTACTTAGAAGCGAGGCCGAAGACGGCTACGGAGCGTCCTTGCAGAAGGTGGTCGAGCGTGAGGGCCAGCTCCTGCGTGGCCATGCCATCTGGCCAAAAGAAGGTCGACTCGCATGATCCCGCCGCCTGATTCCCATCATCCCGACTGGAGGAGTGTGGCCCGCCTTGCGTTGAGTTCTCCCTGGGCTCCCCTTCCGGCGTCGTCGCGGGCATCGGGGAGAGCAAATCCAGTGACGTTTCCCTCCACTGCACAGGAGGCTTGGTCGCGTCCTGTGGGCTACGCGGACGTTTGGTGGCGCGAAATCCGCCGATTTGCGCGATGCACGGCCGAGGGTTGCTCGCTATGCAGTGCAGTATATCTACTGTCAGAAGTGGCGGTAGACTCTGCGCGGGGATAACCCTCACCGCGGCCAAGGAGTGCTCTGGAGAGGGAGCCGCGGCGACCTGCCGTGAGGCCTTTCGGAATATATCCGACATGAGATAGAGGGAGAGAGAATGAATTCGACCGAGTCCGTATGCGCCGTAAGGCACCCGCACTCGATAACGCCGCGGGGCGAGCCCCGGAAGTGACGGTGGACAGCGCCAGCTCAGGAGAGGTGCTGCGGAGACGTCCCCAACGAATGCGGGATGGGTTTGACGTGGGATGCGGTCGACAGCACACCACACACAGCGCTGCTCCAGCCGTGGGTTTCGAACCGAGAAAACGAAGGAGCCCCCTTCGACGCAACATGGCGCCTCGCGAGCAGCGGGGCCACGGGATTGGTCGTCTCCGTCGACCTTAGCGTCGCATTTAGTGAGATTCTGATCGGAGTCTTCGTCGCTCTCGATGGGTTCAACTATGATCGCACGCGCTCTAGCTAGGATAGACGGATCACAACTTCCCCCACCGTTTGCTTTAGCTGAAGTCGCTGAGGCCTTACGGTTGTGTCGCCTGGATTGGGATAACCGGGGGCGGCGAGTGGCAGATCTCAATTCTCCCCCGACGTCCTCGTCATCCTCGTCGTCTGCCTCCCTCCCGTGGAAGAAGGCTCGCAAGGGCTCCGTAGAGAACGCGCGCTTTTGCCGCTGCTCCTTAATAAAATAGTAGCGTTGGATGTTGGAGGTGTGGTACGCCGCCTTACGCCCCCCGCGCCGCGCCCGCTCCTCAGGCACCGTCCCTCCTTCACAGACCCACTCGTGGAGAAGGACCTCCCCGTACTGCAGGGTGCCCTGCTGACAGAGCGGGCACCTCGCCTCGCGGGTGGGGGTCTCGGCGGCG